ACCAAGCTTATGTCTTATCAGTGCCACAAACTCAACCACTTTATGAAAATCACATCCCTGCAGCCTAAGAACTCTACAGATTCCAAACGGGATTGGAGTGCGTGGTGAGCCTATGGATGCTGGGAACACGATCCTTCCCTCATTTGGGGTGAAGGGAGTCTGTGTCTGAGTCTCATCTCTAACCATGAAGTGAGTGTGCAGCACGACTAGTGAACACAGCTGTAGGTGACACCTAAGGAGTATTTGAGAGCTTGAGGGGCTCTGCTCTTATTCTCGAGGCCCCAACATTTTTTTTGGATAAACATTGTGTTTTGAGAGGATTTCAAAGCAGACCTCCTTTTTTCATGGTCACTGCTGCTCTTTTTTTATTTTTTGTCCATTTTCTTCTCTCTCTCTCTCCCCCTCTCTCTCTCACACACACACATCTGTAATAATTTTTTGTAGAGGTGGTGCAAAAAATTCATTTAAATAATCTTTCTAGATATATATTGGTGCTGAGGTAGTTCATTCTATAACCTGATAGCCCTTTAAAACTATTTATTTGGTCATAATTACAACATACAGAAAAGTTAGAAGAACAGTACAAAGAGGACGTGTATCTATTTCATGCACAATTCTCTGCTGTTAGCATTCTACTTTCTTTATCTTGTCACCTTTCTCTTCCCAGGTACGCGTGCACATGCACACACACACACACTCACACACACACACATGCTGCCATTAGTCTTTTTCTGAACAATATGAAAGCAAGCCATACACCAAACACTCCTGAATTCTCCAGCGTGTACCTTTCCCAAACAAGAATCCTTTTCTGCCATACAGCTTTCCCATGTAAGAAGTCATCAATGATACAACCTCATCCTCCACCCCACAGACCCCACTTCAATTTAGCCAAACTATCCCCACAACATCTCTCATTCCTTTCTGGTTCAGAATCCCATCCAGGGGCCCGTGCTGCATAGAGTCTTCAGGTTTCATGAGTCTCTTTCAGCCTGTCTTGCCCTGCCTCTCATGTCCTGATTAATTCTGAGGAGTACAGATCTTTTATTCTATAGGGTGACCCTTAACCTAGGTCTGGTAGTGTTTCCTTGTGACCAGAATCAGGCCATCGTTCCTTGTGCCACAGCAGGAGGCTCCTGATGCCCACCTCTCCCCACACTGTGACCCTTGATGACCTGGCCAACCTACATCTACCAGCTTTACTGTGAAGGCATTATTTTCACCTTTGTACATGCATGTAATTCGCATTTTGTGGGAAGATGGTATGAGATTATACCATTGTCTTATTCTACTTCCTCTCCTATTAATTGCAGCTATGATGACTGCCAAATGGTGATGATCTATGTTCATAATTCCATCTACACCGTCAACAGCTTTACTGAGATATAGTTCACATACCATATAATTCACTCATTTAAGTATACAATTCAATAGTTTTTTATATTCACAGCATCATGCCTCCATCACTACAATTTTAGAACATTTTTATTGCCTCCCAAAGAAACCCCACACCCCTTATCTGTCACCCCCAGTATCTTCAACCGATGCAGCCTTAGGTATTAACCTACTTTCTGTCTCTACGTATTTGCCCATTCTGGATGTTTCATATACATGGAATCATATAATATGTGATCCTTTGTGAGTGGCTTCTTTCACTTAGCATGATGTTTTCAAGGTTCATCCACATCATAGTTTAGAGTTCACGTTACTAGTTAATTTACTGCCAAATAACATCCCGTTGTATGGGTGTACCAATTTTATTTATTCATTCATCAAGTGATGGACATTTGGATTGCTTTTGTTTTCTGACTGCTATGGAGAATGCTGCTATGAACATTCATGTACAAGTCATTGTGTGGACACGTATGTTCATTCCCCTTGGGTGTACACCCAGGAGCGGAATTGGTGGGTCATATGGTGACTCTGTGTTTAGCCACTATTTCCCAAGTGGCACCATTTTCATTCCCACAGCAACGCACAAGGGTTCCAGTTGCTCCACATTCTCACTGGCACTTGTTATTCCCTGCCTGCTTGGTTTTAGCAGTCATGGCGGGGTGAGTGCTCACTCACGGTGGCTTTGGTTTGATTCACCCTGATGGCTGATGATGCTGGGCATCTTCGTGTGCTTACTGGCCATTTGCATATTTTAGAAAAACATTGGATTTGTTGCCTAGGGCTACTGTAATAAAGTACTACAAACTGTGTCACTTAAAACAACAGAAATTGAGCTGGGCATGGTGGCTCATGCCTGTGATCCTAGCACTTTGGGAGGCTGGGACGATTATTTGTGGTCAGGAGTTCAAGACCATCCTGGCCAACATGGCAAAACATTGTCTCTACTAAAAAAAAAGGCAAAAATTAGCCAGGCATGGTAGGTTCCTTTTACATTTGTTAATGCATTCTACTATTAGCAACAAATTTTTTTTTCTTCCCCATTTATTTATTCATTCATTTATATCAGAACAGACACTTGGACTCCAACTTTAGTCGATGTATTGTAATCTGATATGATTATTTAATTTGTTTCCCAAGTTATCCTAGCTCTGGCCAGTGGGTGCTTGTTCAAGCTGGTTTCTGCATCCTGTGGGCATGTCTCTATTGTTCTTTGAGCCTTTCATTCCTCTGTGGCACAATTATGTGTCCCAGGCTAGTTTTATATGCACCCTGCTACTATGGTTTGAATATGGTTTGACTGGCCCTGTTGAACTGTAAGTCTCACGTTGAACTTTGATACCCCGTGTTGGAGGTGAGGTCCTATGGGAGGTGTTTGGGTCATGGGGGCAGATCCCTCATGAATGGCTTGGTGCCACTGTCACAGGACAGAGTGAGTTCCCATTCTTAGTTGCTGTGAATCTGACAGTTATAAAGATCCTAGTGTCTCCTCCCCTCTCCTCTCTTCTCTCTCACCATGTGATGCCGGCACCCTTTGCCTTCCACTGTGAGTAGAAGCTCCCTGAAGTCCCCATGAGAAGCAGATGACGGCACCATGCTTCCTGTACAGCCTGCAGAACCTTGAGCCAAATAGAGCTATGTTCTTTATAAATTACCCAGCATTCCTTTATAGCAATGCAAATGGACCAAGACACCGGTATCACTCATTCTCTCCAACCCTGAATCACTCCTTCTCCATAGAGCGTGTTATGCTTTTGGTGTGGGTATTTAGAAACCAAGGTTTCAGTGCTTAGTTGGTTCATTGTTGCTGAGGAGTCTTGGTCTCAGGGACAGAGCAAATACATATGTGAATGTGTAATTGTCCCTTTACAGATACATGTACCCATCTATAACAATTTCTATATCTACCTGTGTGTATGTGCATTACATATACATATATAGAAATTGCTATATGTATGTTGTATGTCTGTTTTATATATACACACAAAATACTCAAATATGTATTTTTAAATTATTATTTGATAATAGTTCTAATTCTCATCCAACACTTTGGGGTTCTTTCCAGCCTTCTCTCTTAACGTCTTTGTAAATCCGTTCTCTGACAGTGAGCAACCTGCCTCTCAACAGCCTTGGTACATTTGCTTATTTGCGATTGGCTTGTTTACTGTAACCAGCCTCCAAAGAGTTACTTTCTTTGTCCCCTATCTCCATACCCTGTATCCTGGACACCAGACATACTGTTACAGCTGCCTTCATGCTAGGAGGGAAGAGAAGAGGAGAAGAGGGGAGGGAAGGGGAGGAACAGATGGGACTTATATCCTTGTATAGGACTTGATACATTCCATCTCGCTTTCATTGACAGAAGGAAGTTGATGGCTTTAGGTATTTTATAGGCCTTTGGATGCACTCAGGTTGTCTGTTTACTTGAAATGACATCTCTCCCTGTATGCTCCTATGCTAGGGATCCTGGTGGACCCCTAGCCATGAATTAAGACACCTGTAATCCCAGCACTTTGGGAGACTGAGGAGGGAGGATTGCTTGAGGCCAGGAGTTCAAGACCAGCCTGGGAAATAGAGTGAGACCCCCATCTCTACAAAAACAAACAAATAAATAAAAAATTTTAAATAAACAAATATAAAAAAGACTCAGCTTCCCTGTCTCTGCTGAAATGGTGCTTTCTCCAAGTTGTTCCCTCCGCCCTTGCTTTACATGTCACAAGGTGCCAGAAACAAGGTTAAAAGACAAACCACAAACTGGCACAAATATTTTCAGCATCGGGACAGACAAAGTGATAATAATTTTAATAATGGCCTTGGGAGACTAAGGGGAAGAGGATGTGAATAAAGCACACAGAAAGATGCTCAGCCTCGCTTTTAGTCAACTGTATACAAATCCAAATGAGGCCTGTCTTTTATTTTTCTTTTCAGACTGCCAAAGATGGCAAAGAACGATTAACGAGATGCCTTGGCGAGGGTTTGGTGAGAACACCATTTCATCTCACCTTCCTGGAGCACAGACTAGTTATACCATCTTTTAATCCAGTACCTCTGTTTCTTAGGAATTTATTCACAGGAAATAAGAAGACAGACATTAAAATATGTACATTATTAATCATACATATAAGGATCCATGTTAAGATATAGATATGTATTTACGCATGATAAAATGCAGCATATATTATTAATAATATACATAAGGATGTTTGTTGCATCATTGTTTACATACCAAAAGTTAGAAAAAACTAAATGCCCATTATTAGAAAATTAATTCAGTCAACAATGATAAAATGGAATATAATATAGTCTTTGAGAAAGCAAGGTTGATTTTTTGTGTTAATACATAAAGTTGTGTGTATTGCTATGTAAAACCATATTTTGTTTTATTTTTTACTCCACCTGTCTAATACTATTCATGTGCCAGCTGCTGTTGTAAATATATCACAGATATTAACTCATGTGCTCCTCAGCAGGCCTGTGGGGTAGGAACATACAACGCTCCAAATCATTAAACACTGCACTCTCCTGCTCATGAAAAAACAGACAGACAAATGTTTTCAAGTTTATGATCTCATTCATATCTGTGTGTGTTTATTTTGATAAAAATATACAGGATGAAGTTTCAACAGTGGTTCTTTCAAGAAGTGGAGATTCGTTTACACCAATCATGTATTATCCATAAAACAAAATTATGCGGCCAATGGGAAAATAAAGTGCAACCTGGGTAAGTGTGAGAATTGCTCGGCCCCCTGCCCTCTCCTCACCTAAGGCTTATCTTTTGGGTGCTGTAACAGAGGCAGGTCTGACCCTGGCCCCCACCCCCATGTGCCAACTTTTCCTTCACCAAGATGCAGAAACGACAGGTGTCCGGTGAGACTAATGGTGAATCCAGGAGGCTGGACCAAGAAGAATATGACACAGGGTAGTGGCAAAAGCACCGAATTCGGAGTTCAGCAGCGTGGACCCTTTTAGCCAGCTGGGTGACGCCAGGCACATCCTTTTACCTCCCTGGGAGTCAGCCCCTTATAGGAAAATGAATGAGCCTCCAGAATATTATGGACCTTCAGAAAGAAAAAAAAAGACACCTCACTGGTGAGGCTACAAAAAGCAGCATGTAAATAAAGCTCTGAGCATCAGGCCTGTTGCGTGACAGGTGCTCCAGGAGTGAGAGCTATTGTGTCGTCATTGTGATTCTTACTTCTCGATGAAATGCAGATGTGAGGATGAGAACAGATGGACCACAGGAGGGCTACAGACCTGTGGTTTGTCCACTTCCAGAAATGTTCTCAGCTGATAAACTTACTCCAATCCCTGCGTGGATTAGACTCAGAACTTTTAATCAACTGCATGCCAATCAAAATGAGATTTCTCTTTTATTTTTCATTTCAGACTGCCAAAGATGGCAAAGAACGATAATGAGATGCATTGGCGAGGGTTTGGTGAGAACTTCAGTTTTCTTTGGCAAATGTCTGCTCCCTTCTGAACTGGCTTCATAATCACGTGACCCTTCAGTTTCTAGAAGCCCACTGTCTAGCCACCTTCTGATACAGGATCAAGCCAAGAAACCAGAAAGAAGCAAACGAAAGTTAAAGATCTGCCTATATTACCGAGTGCAAGCACTGAAATTCACACCTGTCACAGGAAAAACATTTCATTCCTAACAATACTATCATTTTAATAATCACTCATATTTATTGCATATTTACTCCAATACCCACTGGATGCTCGATGCGTATTATTTCATTTAACCTTCTCGGTAATATCCTGGGGTAAGTATTATTTCCATTTCCATTTACAGGCACACAGAGGTTAAGTAATTTGCCCAGAATCACAAAGCCAGAGTTTTGACACTTGTTCTTGTTACACCTTGTTAACAGGCTTCACGAGCCAATAGAAACAATGGAATAGAATGAAGACAAGGTGCCCTCACAAGCAAAGTGACAGCTGAAGGACACAGAGAAGCTATAAAAGCAGGCACCAAACCTCCCGGACCATCATCCTCAGAGTCGAGAGGCGGGAGAGTGCAGTCATTGAGAGGAAGAAGAATAGCCCGCCGGCGCATTGTGCTTTAGGGTTTACAGAGCACTTTCACACATTATGTTTTATTTGAACCTGAGTCAATTTAAAAAAATGCAATTCGGGCCGGGCGTGGTGGCTCAAGCCTGTAATCCCACCACTTTGGGAGGCCAAGGCGGGTGGATCACGAGGTCAAGAGATCGGGACCATCCTGGTCACCATGGTGAAACCCTGTCTCTACTAAAAATACAAAAAATTAGCTGGGCATGGTGGCACGTGCCTGTAATCCCAGCTACTCGGGAGGCTGAGGCAGGAGAATTGCCTAAACCCAGGAGGTGGAGGTTGTGGTGAGCCGAGATCACGCCATTGCACTCCAGCCTGGGTAACAAGAGCGAAACTCCATCTCAAAAAAAAAAAAAAGGCAATTCAATTTGGTATCTTCTGTTTAAAATAGAGGATGTGTGTGATGCATTCGAGGAAGCATGACTGATATTTTTGAAAACTTGTGACTTTAAAGGAGTGGGAAAGATATTATATTTATTACTTGGAGCATTAACGAGGGATATTTTTCAAAACTTGTGGCTTTAAAAGAGTGGGAAAGGTATTTATTACTTGGAACAATAAGTTAAGTAAATAACTTGATACTCCAGGTTACAAGGTACCTGACAGGTATAAAGAGATGTCCTTCCTGGATGGAGGCCAGCAGCAGTGAGGTGTTATTATATTGGGTATTATATATGTTATATATAAAGTGAGCTTCTTCAGACTTTAAATCAAAGATGGGAAACTCATTTTTAGTAAAGTCACTCTCACCCCTCCCTCATTCTTAGCCATGAATCATAGCGGTTTCCTTCCTTCTTTCCTTCCTTGCCTCCTTTCCTCCTTCTTTTCCCTTTCTCTCTCCCTCCCTCCCTTGGTTCCTTCCTTCCTTTCTTTCCTTCCCTTTCTTTCTCTCTCTCCTTCCTTCCCTCTTTCCTTCTCTCTCTTTCCCTCCCTCCCTCATCCATCTTTATGTTTCTTTCCTTTTCCTTCCTTCCTTCTTTCCCTTTCTCTCTCTTCCATTCTTTCTTCCTTTTTTCCTCTTTCTTTTACTTCTTCCTTCCCCTTGCTCCCTCTCCTCATCTTCCTTGCTCCTTCTTTCCTCCTTTCTCTCTCTCCTTCCCTCCCTACCTCCATCCTTTTCATTTCTCCTCTTTTCTGTTTTCTCACTGATGGTGTCTAAGGCTGGAGGCTGGCAGACAGAAAAGTGCAGGAAGAGGTGGGTATTAAGCCACAGAAGACCTGGGTAAAATCTCCTGGTGAATTTGTGAGGCAAGAGGGTCTGGCTCTGGACTCTCCCTGAAAACACAGCAGGGACCCTCTGGGATACTCGAGGTTCCCATCTACTCAGGATGCCAGCTACCTCTGCAGCCCATTCCCAGGCCCAGAGGGCTCTCTGTTGTTCGCGGGGTTTGGGGGAGGAACTCTCCAGCACCCAGTCTCTCCTGAGCTCTGCTCCCCAGCCTGGCCATAATTTATTGGTGAGGGTCCCAGGCCGAGAAGGGGCTGTATGTTGTTGTGTTCATGGTAATTTACAAGGCAAGCTGCCCTGGTGGTCACCTTCCCCTCTGCTCAAGGAGGTGAACACAATGTCTCCATCTTGGTCGCCAGGGAAAGGATACTTTCTCCAAGGGCGCCATGAATTGGCTGGTTGCGTCTCTGAACAGCCAGGCAGGGGGGTGATGATCTGCACCGATGAGAGCCATTAACAAAATGGAGTGTGCCATCTTCACAGCACAAACGTCGCCCTGACCATAATACCCTCTTAAGGGGACCTCAAGTGGTCCAGCCTTGTCACCGGCTCTCCCAGGCACGCCACCAATCATTTGTTACAGCTGCTGGTATTTGCACGGAGGAGAGGGCAAGAGAAAGGCAGGACCCGAGAGCATCCCAAGAGATCTCCGCCCTGTGGCCTATTGTACTTCATCTCGGAGACAAAGAAGCCCCCAGACCTTTCTCCAGCTAGTCTCTTCAGCTTCATCAATAAATCAGAGTCCAGAGAAAGCCATTCAGATGTGGCCGAGGCCTCCTGAAGCCTCTGCCCATAGAGCTGCTTTCTGGAATATGTAGGAGAGGAGAGATTTTTAGTTGAGCGCATTTTGTTTTACTTCTCCCCGCCCTGCGTTCTTTGTCACTTCTCTCCTTTCTGTCCCCTCGGTGTGGAACAGAAGATGCGTTTGTAGGCCTGAATCGGGGGGATTGTTCCAATCATCAGACCATTCACGCCCGCCCCTCCCCTGTTGTAAAACGCAAAGCTGGGCCGAGGAACAGCGGCCCCATTGTGCGGCGCCCATGCCACCCAGATTTCACCTCAGCCTTCGCAGAGCCCCTGTTTTGTTTCCAGTCAAAAGAAAGCATTTGCTCAGGGGAGGGGAGGGGTGTTCCTATTGCTTCCACTAACAGAGAGGTTAAAGGAAAGATTGATGGGAGAAAGTTCACCTAGAAAACCAGGATACATTTCTGGCCGGCCAAGGCCAGTTGTCGCATTGTCCTGGGGCCATGTTTTTTGTTAATTATCTCTCACTCTCTCCTTTTATCAAGGAGAAAAGTAGCAAAGCAGGCAGAAAGGAACAGGATATAGGGGTCAGGGGTCCCCCTGGGCCACCTAGGTATTCCATTGGAAATGCTGGGGCGGGCAGGGCCGAGGGTGAGTCCTGCCTGGCTTGGGGTAGGGAAGAGTGGTGGCCACCAAAATGATAATTAATTTGATCCCGTTACTTATGGGGAAACTTCCCACCCTTCACCCCATTCTCTGGCCTCCCTGTATCCTTGTTCTAGCTCCCAGGGTCTTTATCTTCTTTCCAGCTCCAATCCCCTGCCCATTGCCTCCAACACAGACACACACACATTCACTCATTCACACGCACATATGCACACGCACCCACGTGCACACACACATTCACACATGCACAAGCACATTTGCACACACACATTCATTCATGTACATGCACACACACTTACACATACACACACACCCACGCACACACACATGCACATACACCTGCACTTTTTCCTTTTTAATTTTAACCTCCATGCAACTGTAAGGGTGATTTCAGGAAGGGTGGGGGTAGGGTTGTGAGGGGAACAACTGAGAGAAAGGCTAAGAAAGTTGGTCCAAACAAGAACATGTTGTCAAGGAAATAAACCTTGGTGAGGGTAGGCATGAAACCACAGCTGCTGAATTTGGCCAGCCTCAGACGCTGGTGGTAATGACAATGATTCTCAGTGGCAGGGCCCCAGCTCCCAACATAAATAGGGCTCAGCCTGAAAGGGGAGGAAATGGAACAAAACATTTCCTTGGGTACCACTGGCAGAGAAATAACATCAATTTCAATTCGGGGAGGGCGGGAGGCAGAGAATCTGCCTGTTTCCCCACAGTAGCAAAGGCAAATTCATAACTCGCCAACAAAGTACCTTTGAAACGCAGCTGCACTCCACGAACACACTGCCTTTTTCCACCCAGAGAGACAACCCTGTCTTGACCAGAAAGAAGGGGGAAAAAGAAAAAAGCACACACTATTGAAAACCCAAAAGAGAGGGAAAAAGAAGGGGGGAGGGAAGTTGCTGGGGGCTGCGGGGCAGGGAGGGAGGGGAAATGCGTGGATCTTGGCAGATGCAAATGATAAGCTTTACCTAGTATAATGCAACCTTCTTTGCCTTTCCAAGAGGAGGTCTGTGATGAATGGCCACACAGATTCTCGGGAGAGAGACTGCACACAGGCAGCTGGTGGCCAAAGGCAGCCATGTGGCCAGGAAGGAAGGCCATGGGACAGGCCCTGGCCCCCAGGTACCCCTTAGTGCTCTTGGACTCCAGCGCCTGCAAGGAACGGAGCAGCTGCTGCCTCCTGGGAAGAGGGGCTCTGGCGATGTCAGAGCCAGGCTCCCAGCAGCCCAGGAATGTGTCTACAAGGCAGCATTTCGGGATGAGTGATAGCCATAAGTGAGCAAGTCCAGCTTCCACACTTAAGAAAAAGATTGTCAAAGTATGAATACGAAATTAGGCATAAACAGGAATATTCATTTAAAATGAGAACATCACAACAAACTACAAAAGGTAAAAGCTGAAAAATATCAAACATCACAGAATCCAGAAATACTGTGTGTGTGTGTGTGTGTGTGTGTGTGTGTGTGTACATGTTTCTTTTTTTTTTTTTTTTTTGAGACGGAGTCTCGCTCTATTGGCAGGCTGAAGTACAGTGGCGAGAAGATCTCAGCTCACTGCAACCTCCGCCTCAGGTGCGGGTGATTCTCCTGCCTCAGCCTTCTGAGCAGCTGGGACTGTAGGCACACATCACCAAACCCAGGTCATTTTTTTTGTTGTTGTTTTAGTAGAGACAGGGTTTCACCATGTTGGCCAGCATGGTCTTGATCTCTTGACCTCACGATCCACCCGCCTCGGCCTCACAAAGTGCCAGGATTCCAGCATGAGCCATTGCACCCAGCATGCTTCTTTAATTAGCATCTGGACACACCTCTGCAATACTTTTCCACAGACCAGCTTCTCACCTCACACATTTTAAACCTTGTCTATCCTGTACCGCCCACCTGTTTCCGATGCTGGACGCCCAAGTATATGATTTGTGGCCCTGCAAAACCCTGTCACCAGTCTGGGAACTCCACTCAGTGGGGAACAGGGCTAGTCCTGGAAGCCGTTTCTACGCCCGGGCGACCAGCAATAATTCAACCATGGAGAAGTGACAGCAAAGCACACAAATTTGTCCCACTAACCTAAGCCTGCCTCCCAAGTCAGCTCCCCTTAGCCACATCCCAAACATGCTCTCGGTGACTCCAACACCCACAGACACAGGCAAGTGGAAGAGAGAGGGAGGAAGTCAGGCTGCAAAGTGCTGAAACAGTATCTTACTGCATTGGGGTTAAAACATCTAACAGATGCAAATTTTACAGAAACATATGACCATGTGAACAGTTGGCGGGGCCCTTCCCAAGCCTTGGAAGACAGTGTGCAAATGAGTGTCCTTAAGCTTAGGTTTTATTCCTGTCACTATCAAGCTGCCTTTGCCCACGTGGCTCATGTGGTCAATATCAATGTTTGCAAGTCTGGGTGTCAGTCACCTGGACAGTGCCTGGAGCCTTCCCTGCTGCTCTCCAGAGAGAAACCTCTGAGCTGTATTAGGGCGCCCCTAACCTTCCAGGCTGAGAGCCCCTTACTGGGGTCCCAGGGCTACAAGCTGCTGCAGGACATGGGCTGGACCTTGTTCCCACATAAGCACTCAAAGCAGCAATCAGAATGCCTAGCACAACATGAGACTCAATAAATATGTGTCAAGAAAAAACAGAACAGGGCCGGGCACGGTGACCCACACCTGTAATCCCAGCACTTTGGTAGGCCAAGGCAGGCACACTGCTTGAGCTTAGGAGTTCAAGACCAGCCTAGCTAACATGGTGAAACTCCATCTCTACTAAAAATACAAAAAGTAGCCTGCATGGTGACAGGTGTCTGTAGTCCCAGCTACTAGGGAGGCTGAGGCAGGAGAATTGCTTGAACCCGGGAGGTAGAGGTTGCAGTGAGCTGAGATGGTACCACTGCATTCCAGCCTGGGCAACAGAGTGAGACTCCATCTCAAAAAAAAAAAAAAGAGAGAAAGAAAAAAGAAAACAAATGACCTACATTATATAAAACCCCAAGGT